ACCTCTCTGTCCGCCACAGCCCCACTTCATGGTCCTGCTAGTGTTATTGCGAGAGCTCAGCGCGTGGTTGAGTGCCTATTATGTTTTCTGTGTTTGGTGGTGGTGTTTACATTTTTTTTAAAGTTTTTTTTTTTCGTTTCTTGCTTTGTGTCACTCGTGTCCTTCGCTGCCGCTCCTCCCCCGCCCCCCACGCAGCGCGGCTTGCGGCCACACACACACACGCCGGAGAAGGCAGGCGGACGCGAGTGGGGTGGGGGGGCGAAGAGGGGAGAAGTTGTCGATGTGTCTGTGTGTGGGTGGACGCTGAGGGCGGTGGAGGTGGCGGTGCGGTGCCGAGGCGGATTTGCCCGCGCGCGCTGAGTGGGACGGCAGGGCGGCGGAGACAGAGCAGGCCCCCCGACGCCCACCCCCCATCTCGGGCGACGAAGAAAAAAAAAACTGAACGACGTCGCGTGTGCCTGCGTCTGTGAGCGGGTGCGTACGTACGTGTCTCAGAGTGTTGTTGTAAAGAAGGAATTAAAACAAACAAAGCAAAAAAATTAATTATCAAAGCCGTACTCCACGACGTTGCGGAAGGAAAAAAAGAAAAACGGGAGCCCTTAGTTAAAGTGAAAAAAAAAATGGATATATAACACAAATAAGTTGGCATGGGGAATCCCGGCACGTTTCATGTGTCCTTGTGTCTACCCACTGCGTTTTCCTTGTTTTGTGTTGTTGTACTGTGCACCCCACGCAGACACACACACACACACACACGCAGACACATGCGCATATGCATGCATACCTTGCGGAACACCTGCTCGTGCACATTCCCACTCTGTCCTTCCCCCACATCCACTACAATAGGGTGCATATATATATATATGGGAAGTGGCGTGCGAACGCGGAGGCCTTGCGCTTCACTGTTTTCTCTCTCCCTCTGTACTTTCTCTGGTTTGCTTTTTTTTGCTTTTGCCTTGTCTCTCTGGAGAGTGTTCTTGAGTACTATGGGGCGCACGTCTGTGTAGGGGCACACACGCCAATTCATGCAATAGGAACGGTGTCGGGTAGCCGCCTGCACGACGCGGCGGGCGTCGGGTCGCTATCACTGCTGCTAATCTCATGGCGGTGGCAATGGCGGCCGCATGTGCAAGAGTGCTCCGGTGCAGAGGGTTCATTCCGCTTTGTTGAAAGGGCGAGTCAGACGCGATTGGGCGTGTCACGCATCTTCATTGTGATTACTACTTGGGTTTCCCGCAATGACGCTGGAGGAGGCGCTGTTCTGCTCTGTGAAATTTTCCTTCAGGAGGTTCCTCCCACACTGCTGCAGCTGCTACTAATTGCTTTTTACTACCTCTCCATCGTGATTGCGGTTGTGTTTTTTGGGGGGTTTTGTTTTTGGTTTGCTTCTTCTGCCTCACCGTGGTGCTCCTTGTGCGTATTGCCAGCAACGTAAAGGAAGGGAGTGTGGAATACACGACCAAAGGGGAAGCTACACACACACACACACACGCAAATATATATATNTATATTTGTTTGTTTGTTAAGGAAGCAATCAAGCGTTCGTAAATTCCGGTGTTTAAAGGTAGGAAAGGTGGTTTTCGGTGACCCCGTGTTTCCGCGTCGCATTGTGCGACCAATACCGTGCCATTCAATACAGCTGAGCGTGAAATTTGTGTTGTGTGGGCGCAAGAAGGAATTGGGGTAGATTCAACTTTCCTGCGTAAGTGGTGTGTGAATTTTTAAAAGGTCGCATTATACCCGCGATTTTATATTCAGGTAGAGAACCGATAGGCAAAAGCGTGAGGGAAGAAAAATGTGCGCCGCATTTCTCATCTCAGCCTCGTACGATCAGCAGATTCGCTTCTGGGATGGTTCATCTGGTCGCACTGTGCGCTGTTTTGCATTTCAGGACTCACAGGTGAATGCGTTGCTGATGATCCCCGACACAACGTACCTCGCTGTGGCCGGGTTTGGTGTGGTGCGTGTGTACGACATTGGCGTAGCGCACACGGCGTCCGGTGGCGGTGGCATTGGCAGCCAGGCACCGCCGCTCTTCTCGTCGTACGAAAATCAATCCGCGATGAACGTGACAAGCCTCGGCACCTTTCCACTACACACTAGGAAGGGTATTATCTCGTTCTTCGGTACCTCCGCCGAGGGGTCGAACAGCAGCTTCTTCAATACATTTGACCTGGCGGCGACCCAGCGGCCTCTCTCGGACGTCTTTGCTGGTGAACTTTCAACAGCACTCTACGCGACCTCGGAGGACGGTCATATTCGTTTCTTTAATGCCACCTCACCGACGACACTGAATCTCATTTGCGACATCGCAACAGGCGCCGCCATTACATGTAGTGCGCTCTCACCAAACCGTCAGTACCTGCTCACAGGTTCACAGATTGGCCGTGTGTCTGTGTGGCATCTCCCCGCCGTCATTGCGGTAGCCACGCAGCAGCTCGACAGCTCCGTGCACACTGCGTTTGGTCAGAGGCCGATGCAAGAAATCACGTTTGAGGCGGACTACACAGCCATCCGAAGCATTGCATTGGAACCATTGGCCCGTTGGGCTGTGGTGGCGACAAATGCAGGGAAATTGCACTTTTTGCGTTTTTTGGTAGAATCGGGCGCCCCTGGTCACTCCACAGATACAGACGTTGGCGTGGTGAAGGTGTCAGCAATTGGCGAGGGGAATGAGGAGGAGCCACAGAAGGGTGAAGGTATTGTTAGTGATAGCATTGAAGCCGAGGCGTGCTCCACCCCCACCACCACCACCAATCTGCTATCCTCTAACAGTAACTGTCCACCCCCAGAGAGTGTGTATAGGTCTGCAGTTGTCAGCAACGAGCTTGGGAACAGCGGGCTGCGCGGTAATGTATTGGGGTCATCATTTGCTGGTCACGACAAGGAATCCATCGCTGCCGCGCTCATCGGCAGTCTGGACCCCAACAGCCTCCGCGTGAAAGCCTTCTCTTCAAACAAAGGTGGCGACAGCCCGCACAACGCTTCAACAGAGTCCTCTACGCACAAGTCGGCCTTTCGGCAGCAGGTTGTTATGGAGGTCTTTCACTCGTTCCAGGCGCATTACAAATATATCCTCAAGGTGGCCATTTCACCCAATGCGGACATGCTCGTGACGTGCTCCGCAGACTACACAGTGGGACGCTTTCTTATTCCATTGGAACTTCAGAAGGGTGCCGCAGAAAAGCTCAATCAGCCTGGGGATGCGTTTTGCAGCAGCCCTGCGATTGATCCCCCACTCTCTGCGACAGCGCCCATGGCTGCTCAGGGCTCCGAAGTCGTCCAATCCGAGGCGTTGGCGGATGCTGGAGCGGCGGAAACGCCTGTAGCGGCGGCGATTCTATCACCACTGCAACCCATTGAAGGGGAGGGCGACAAGAATCCACTGTGTGCTGAGAACGCTGAGGGTGGTGAAAAAAAGCCACTTGATACAGAACAAACGGGTGGGACGAAAAAAACAGCAACATTTGCGGCTGATTCATCATTCATCCAATCGACAAGAAAAGCTGCAGACAGGTCGGGCGTTCGTCCTTCCGATTTTCAAGACGCCTCATCCGTGTTGTTCTCTGTTGTGCCATCAACGAGTGCGGAAGGGAACACAGCATCCCAACAGACTGGCGGACTACAATTCAAGGCGCTGAAGCCATTGACGGGGCACGCCCGGTGGGTGTGGGATTGTGTCTTCAGCGACTGTGGTCAGTTCCTCTTTACCTCAAGCAGCGATCACAACCTGCGCATGTGGACGGGCCTGCTCACCGACCGCGTGCAGTTCACCTGCTTTATCGGGCACACGAAGCCGGTGGTGTGTTGTATTTTGTATTACGAAAAGAAGTGATAGCGGTGATGATGTGTGGGACTGGAAATGTGGAGTTCACACAGAGAAGTGGTGCCGAGGACGAGGAGAAAGCAAGAAGAAGCAAATTAAAAAAAGGCACTCCACTGATAGGATGGTGAAGTGAACAGAGAGAGGAGAGAAAAAAAAATTTAAGAAACAAAAAAAAAACAATGGGGAAACAGAATGCACTCTTCTTCCCTATTGCCAACTGCTGAGCTCTTGATGGCTGGCACTTGGAAAGGCGTAGAATGAGCCCACACAGTTTCGAGAGCGACGCTGTGGGGTAAAAAAGGGATGCTAACAGAAACGGGATAAGCCCCATGATACAGTTAGACGGGTAGATGGAGATGACGAAGGAGGAGAGTAAAGCCCTTCTTCTATTATGCATCTTTGCGATAAAACGCGTCGGCGCTTGTCGAAGTGCTCTTAGTCGTTCTTGAAGAAAAAGGGGAAATGTTTCGGGTATTCATCAAATGCGCATCTTCCATTGGGTCCCGATTTGTGTGAGTGGAGGAATGAATGAGCGAATAAATGTGTGTGTGTGTGTCTGTGTGTTGTGGACACGTGACAGGCGCTGTGTGGGCTCCCAGCTGTTGCTGCTCATATTTTCCAAGCCACTTGTGATGAATCAAGCAACAACATCATCATCATAATAAAAGGGAGAGAAGATGCGCAACCTCACCCTTACCGCTTTGGTCGTTTCCCCCTGTTGGTTTAGACTTGTGTGAAGTGGAAGGAAGATTGTGTCGCATCCGCGCGTCCAAATGTTCATTGCAGTTGGCTGGGCCCGCAGAAGGCCACTAGCGGACCCTTATTCACTTGTGCGTACCCTCGCTTCAGCAGGCACGCCACTTGGAGGCCCCTCAAACCTCCGTTGCTGCTCCTCCTCCAACAACAACAGCAGCGCAGGTGTTGTGAGCAGCCGGCGTTTTTTCAGTAGCCACTCGAAGGATGGTGGAGAGGACAAAGGCACGGATAAAGATCCGGTGGAGCGTGTGGAGGGAGAGTCGTTGACTGTTGAAGGCCGGTGGGGTAATAGCCGCAGGTGGGCGGGTGCGGAGCAACAAGAACAACAACAACAGGCCGCCAATGACGCCATCACACGACTGTTTCACGACGACATGCAACGGAAGTCGTTGCAGCGGAAGCCCGGAATAACGCTTGGTTCCCAAACTACCACCACAGTGATTACAACGTTGCCCGAGGGAGATACCACGGATGGAGTGGACAACAGGCCGGGTGGGGAAGGCTCTTTCTCTTCTCTCGTGAGCGTGGAAGCAGTTGAACAAGAATTATTGGATGATGCCTTCTTGTACCTCCCTCCCGCAGTAAATGTAGGAGAGCGCGCGAAAACGGCGCCGGATGGAGAGGCGTATGTGCCAGGCCAGCAGATCATACCCCCGGGTAGCACGCGTTACCGTGTGGACGTGCAGTACCAGGGGAGCGACTTTGACGGCTGGTGGAAGAGTACGAAACGTGAGTTGTACCGGCGGGAGGTATCGCCTGACGGCACCGTGCGACGGGTGCCTCTCAGAGGGGCGGATGACGGTGCGAGTGAGACCCCCGCTGGAGAGACCATGAGCAGCAGGTACCACGCGAGGACAGTGCTGGAGGAGGCACTCGCGGTGGCGCTCGACGTGCACAGTGTAAAGGTGGTTGCGGGCGTCATTCCTGAAGTGGGGGTGTCGGTGCGCCGCCTGTGCTGTCATGTGGATGTACCAAGTCACATTGAGCTGCAGCCGCGTACGATCATCCAGCGTGCGACCATGTGGCTAGAAAAGAAAAAGCAGCCACTCGCTATTCTCAGTTGCCAGCGGTGCAAAAATCAGGACTTTCACGCACGTCACAGCGGATTGAGACGAGTCTACGTGTACCGCATCCTCAATCGCGTTGCACCCCCACTCTTTGATGCGGGGCTGCAGTGGCACGTGGACCGTCACTTGGATGTGGACCGTATGCAGCGCTTTGCCAAAGCACTGGAGGGCACAAAAGACTTTGGTTACTTTGCTGACCCTAAAATGGCCAATGCACTCCGCCGCGCTGCGGTGAGCCAAAGTGGACTGTCAACAGCAGCTGCTGTAGAAGAGCACTATCAGCCCACCGCCTCCGGCGACTCGCCACGAGCGACACGTGGTAAGGCAGCGAAGATGCCACTGGAGAAAGGCCCCAGCAACTTGGACCGCGCCGCTTCCCTTCCAACATTCAACGAGTACGGTCAGCGCATTGTGCAGCCAGGTGCCCATGCTAGGGAGTATTACCGTGCCGCAACTAATCTTCCGACGATACGCACGGTGGACCGCCTCGACGTTGTGCGGCAGGACGACGAGGTGTTAATATGGTTTGTGGGCAAGTCCTTCCTGCGTCACCAGATACGCAATATGGTGAGTGTGCTGAAGGCAGCAGGGCACGGGATGTGGGACGAACTGGAGCTCCAGCAGGCGCTGCAAAGTGGGTTTGAGCCGTCGCGGCGGCGGTTCCAGCGGGAGCGCTTCCCACCAGCGCCGGTGTACGGCCTGACGCTGTGGGATGTTGAGTACCCGAAGCAGCACCGCGCCGACTACGTCCCTTTCGTGGACTCCGGGCCCTATGAGGAGATCAACATTGCGCGTGACATTTAAGGCGCGGTGTGCCGTCGCCAAGAAATGGAGCGGGGTGGACGGGTGAACGCAAGAGAGCAATAAAAGAGGAGGGTGGGGGAGGTGTTTGGTGGTCGGTGCCGGCAGATGCTCCCTGTGCGGTGGTTGGCTGCGTCCCACGCCCTTAACTGTGAACCGCAGCAGCAGCAGACACGGGCGCGGTGCCTCTGTGGTTGTTTGTGCAACTCTCGACTTGGAGCGGGAAAGGGGGAGCGAGAAGTTCTTCTTTTTGTGTTGGTGTGTGCACAAAAAAAAAAGAAAACAGTTTTGGTTTTTTCTTGATTCCTCTTTGTTTATTTGCCTTTCGTTTTCGCCCCTCGTCTGTTGTTGTTGTTGTTGTTGTTGTTTTTCTGTTTGGTTGGCATTTCTCACTTGCTGCCATTTGTTTCGCAGCGTGAGCAAGGAAGCCTCACACTTTGTGTGCGCCACTTCGCCGTCGGCGTTCATTCCGCAGCCCGGCAAGAGGAAGTCTACGAACGAGGGGAGCAGCAGCACCCACGGAACCACCATCGTGGCCCACAGAGCAGCAGCGACGGAAGCGCGGGGCAGGGAGCTTGCGCGTGTGAGGAGGCACATTTTCTTTTTTTCGGTTTGCCCACCACTAGCCAAGCCACCATAGAAGTAAGCGAAAAGGACAGCATAAAGGCAAAAAAAAAAAAAAAGAAATTAAAAAATCAGGAGCAGCAGCACTCGGCCTTGTGCTTCTCTGCCCATCTTGCTCCTGTGCACACATACAGCCCCGCCATGCTGCGTCACGTCCACCGGCTCTTCTCGAAGCCGACTGCGACACGTCGTGGGGCGGCAACTTACAGCGCGGCCGCGGTGAAAAAGCAGACGACTCGCGGCGTGAACGGCCACGCGCCATTCGCTACCTTGCGACCTGCGTTCAAGACGAGCGACCTAGCGCAGCTGCTGAAGAAGTCGATACCCTCTACTGCTAATGTTCTGGCGATTGATAACACCTCGAAGAATGCTGATAGCGCCTCCTCGCTCTTCCGGTTTCTGCTATCGCACAACGAAACGCTTTCGCAGGTGCAGAAGGACCCAAAGTCTCACCACCCGCTCCTTGTGGTCGTTGAGACCACATTAAAGAAGGACGACGCTGAAGCGAATGAGTTTGTTCTCAGAACTGCCCTTCAGCAGCAGGGCCATTTCAAGGGCGCGACGGCTATTGTTCTGGATTCCAGCGAGACATTAGCCGCGAGGTCTTTGCTTATGAACGCAAAAGGGAGCGGAGCGGCGGTTAATATAGAGGAAGTGGCGGCGAATAATAAGAAAATTGTGGCTCCAGCTCCAGCTCCAACGCCAGCAGCAGCACCAGCTGCCCCAGCTGCTGTGAAGGCCCCCGTAAAGGTTGAGAAAAAAGTGGAAGAAAAGTCCAAACAAGATTCATCGCCTCCAACAAAGAAAGCGTCCAGGAGCACCACTGTTACGAAGACACCGTCGCCAAGGAGCAGCAAGGAGGTTCCTCTGAAGAAAAATGCAAAGAGTGCTGCAGGTGGTGAAGAGGTGCCTGCCCCCCTCTCCTACGTCCCACCGCCAGGCGCGGTGAAGATGCGGTCGACGCCGGGCGCACCGACACGCACTGACACGCGGGAAGCGCTGCGGCGGATGTTCAAGTCGTCACTGGCGGCGCCGTTTCAGCCGCCGCAGCAAGTGGAGCGGGTGCTGTTCTCTGGCGCCGTCGACAGGGTGCGGTTCGCCGATCTGCTCAACCTCCCACTCTGCGGCAGTGGGGAGGTGCATGTGCTGTACTACAGGCTGACTGGCGCGGGTGCCTGCCGCACACCGCTTATCACCATCACACAAGCGATGGAGGAGGTTTGCCAAAAGCGAGTCGGCAATACGACGAAAAACGTTGATGTGCTCAGCACGGACCGTGTGCCGATGCTGCTGTTCCTCAGCGCGTCGTTCCTCGTTGGAGAGGATGCAGATCTGCTGTGCAAGGAATACCAAAAGACGCTGCAAGCCCGCTTGTCGGAGGTGGCCGACGTTACCGTGATGATTGCACCGTCCTGCTTCACGGAGAAGAATGTCCTCTTTACACTGCGAACTGCAGCAGTGGACCGTGAAGGCAACACCGGCGAGCCGCGAGAGCAGCAGTATCACGGAAGGGAGGACGAGCTTCCGCCCACCCCAGGTCTGCTGCGTCGTGGCGAGGCTGGCAGTGCCCATACGATGGCGTCTCTCACGGAGGATACGCTGCGGTGCGTTGTGACCAATGCGCTGGAGGAAGTCGCCCTACGGCACGAGAAGTCCACTGACCACCTTGTGAGCACACTAAAGAAGCTCGTCGAGTATTGGTCGCGAGAGCGCGTTATAGAGCTTATGGAGGGTCTTCAAAGTGAACGAGAGGTGCTGCAAGATGTCATGAAAGAGTTTGGGGACATCCAGCAGCAGCTCCGCAACACACAGGAGGCGATGAAGGCACTTCGAGTGAATGTGCAGAGCATAGATGACAAAATGGAGAGCAGTAGTCGAAAATCAACCTCTGTTTCGGTGAATGACACTGCGGTGCTCACCAAAACCATCGGATCTTTGGAGAAGCGCATGGCCGAGTCTCTCAGCACCATGCCCTCCAAGCAGCAGATTGCCCTCGACTTGCGTGAGGAAATGGAAAGCCTGCAGAAGGGCCTTCAAGAAGGTTTCGACCACGCCTTGTCGAAGAATCTAAAGAACATGCACGAGGAGCAGCAGCGTGTGCTGCAGAATGCTCTCCAAAGGAATACATCCACTGACGAGAAAACTCAACAGCTTATGCAACAAACCCTTCAGGAGCTTCCCGAGCGTATCCAGACTGGAATGGAGAAGGCGCTGCAGTCTTTCAGCGTAAACTCAGACGGGCAGACGGCAAGGATGTTGGAGAGCCACCGCAAGTTGACAGACGTCCAAGTATCCGAGCTGTGTGAGAAGATGTGCAAGTCTGTCGAGGAGGGCCAAACACGCATTGAGCGTGCTGTTGTGGGCTTACTGTCCGCGAAGCCCGAGACGAACACCGCCGCCCCTGAAGAGGCCACTGTGAGTGAGGAGAAGGGCAGTGTAACGCAATAGAGAAAATGTGCAGTTCGACAGGAGGGAGAATGAAAGGGAAAAAAAAAA